TCTTCACCTTCTCCTTCGACGACTTCCTTCTCAGTAGCAGCAGGTTGCTTAGGAGGAATCCTTATAGTTGCAATAAAATCAATGCAATTAACACAAGTAAAAATAAAGAAAGAAATTTATGAAAGAAGTGATGTCAAAAAACCTCTCATTCCACACCTTCATATATTGGGGACTCCATGCGAACATGTTCTATGCCAATATGAAGGTGGCCTTTGAAATTGTCTAGAGTATACTTAGTCAAAACCACTCGCTTTTGTGATTCTTGTCGAAGGGTTTTTACAAAATCCCCATAGAGAAACCAGTATAGAAATGGAGGACTAAAAACCACCCCAAGTTCAGCACTGGGCAGTTGAGGGAATTTTTGAGGATATAAATTAAAAGCTAACTTGTATCGTTGGTCAGGTTTAACGTATGAAGGTAGCTTTAAATCCTCTAGTTTCTTTGTAAATTTTTCTTGCAATGTGATTGCTACTTCACTAATGGTTCGACTAAGATCATCAGGTTTGTAAGCAGTTTCAAAATACTTCTGGAATGCTTGGATCTCTTTGATATGTGTTGAAGTATCTTTCTTCACTTTTTCCTGCACAAGGGCAAATACATGAGTTAGATGCTGGTTGAAAGTAGCTACATCAAAAACTTCTTTATTGTAGTAATCTTTCCACCAAGTTTTGAACTCTTTGGTACAAAGGAAGATGGTTTGAAAGCTAGAGGGGTGAGTTGTGTAAGGCCAGTATATTTAGCCACTGATAAGTTAGACTATGCTTTAGTATGGATCATGTTGTAATGAATCAAATAGCCTTTCTTGGGGAAAAGTGGTTTTGGTTTGATTCGGATAAGACCAAACAGTCGAGCGACAAGGTTTGGTTGGTAGCTAACGAGAGTAAATTTAAGCCTTGAAGGATTAAGTCTTATGGATAGCAATCTTGGGGTCGGGAAAGCTTCCAATATATCAAGAGACTCCGCTTCTTGGTCTTTTGACTAAGCAGGGAATCTTCTGGTAAACCACTCAGGGCCAACTTTCTTATCTACAAAGGGAGCCATGCTGGGGGATAAGTTGTAGTATTTGGAAAACATCATCACATAGTTAGTGAATATTTTCTGAAGATTTAACCCTTCATCATTTGAAGTTAGCATAACGAGCCTCATGCCTTCGACTCTCCTGTTCTTCACTTTGACAGATTCTTCATTGATAGGGTTGTGAGCAGGAAGAGATGTTTCGAATGTGGCATTTAACCATAGTTGTAATAGCCAAAATGGGCCAGAGAAAAGTAGGGTTCCTTTGGAATTAAGGGTTTTCCTTGTTGTAACGCCTTCCTCTAAAGATTCATAAAGGTTGGCTAGGATCATTTCGCCAAGACAAATATTTTGTCCAACGTGTAATTGATAGCCATTGTTAAGTATCTTTTCTCCATCTGAAGTGATCTTGAACAGAAAACACAACGGGATAGCCATGGAGCAAGAAATTAAGTATGTTCTTGATCAGATACTTCCTCAAAGTTCTTATCATGATAATGGGAAATATAAGTTGTGAAGGTTGCTTTGGTTGTGTCGAAGCCTATGGTGTCGTCAGCTAAAAAGTTAGGATCATAGGATTCTCCAATTGGCTTAAGCCCAGTTATAGAAGCCACGTCAAATAAGGTTGGAGTCATCATTCCATAAGTAAGGTGAAAATTGTTATGAGTGATATCCCAGAAATATAGAGAAGCAATTAGCATGGACAAGCAATAGTCAGGTCCCACCTTCGACAATTGGATCATGTCGAAAATGCCCATGTCTTTCCAGACTTGGGATTTTGCTTTCTCTATCTTTTTCAGCCAAGCAAGATAGTCAGATGGGTCTTTGAACAAGAGGAATGACCCAAATACCCTAAACCTAGGTACTCTAAGTTAATTGGGTCTCTAAAAGCTATAGTCGAAGGAGAACCTTGACCATCAACTTTTGATCTTTCATCAGCCTTAATTTCTTCACTAAACCTAGGTTTTTGACCGTTTGCTATAGGCTTATAACGATGATAAGTAGGGAAAAATTCCTTAACCTTAGCAGGATCAACAGAAAGGTTATGAAGAGGACCTAACATGGCATGTGTTTTTCCAGAGACAGAGACGAGAATGAGTACTTGGGATTGGTAGATTTTGCGCTTCTCTTCTTCACGAGGTGGTTTAGGAATATATTGTTGGTTACCTACCACTGATGGGCCAAATATTTTGTGAACTGGAGCAAGCTCTGTGGATTTCTTGGGCCCCTTAGTGTTATTGATTGAATCCTTGGAAGTCTTAGTTGAAGATGCCATTGATGAAGTAGGTTTGGAGAAAAAGGGTTTTGCAAGAGATGAAGAGTTGAAAAAGTTTGCTCAAAGAGGTTCAGAGAGTGAAAAAGATTTAAAAAATGGTGTTTTTCACTATTTATAGAGGGATGAAGTGGAAGTGGTTTACTGTACACATTAATGGTGGAAGAAATTGTGGGATACGTGTCATGCAGGGGTTGCCTGATGAGATGATAGCAGTTCATCTGACCCACGATCTCCTAAGGACTAGATGTGTGATGATTAAAAAAGATTCACGCATGAATTTTGAGGAGACGTTTGAAAAAAGTTGTCATGATGATGATGACGTCATAACAAACAAAGGGGTTTTCTAGCGTCGAATGTGAACTTCAAAAAATGCATTTTTCTCCATTTAGTCGAAAACGACATTTTTGGGGGCAATTTTTTGGTTGTGAATTTCGACGTCACTAGTTGTTTAAGAATAATAAATAGAAATCAAGTATTTCTTAGGTTGTTGTTGAATTCGACAGAAGCTTGTGCAAGAAGCCTAATTGAAAAGGTCTTCATAAGGAGGACATGTTAGGCAGATACTTAGAAACGTTTTCACAGCAACTTCGACAGAGGGTGTACGTGGCTCTCCTTTGACAGAAGTTTGAAATTCAAAATACGGATAATAATTGTCTTTGTCCTTATCTGTTTCTCAAGAGAGGACACGTGGAAAGTTGTGGAGAGATGAAGACATGCAGAGCAAAACGTGTCAATTTTTGGAGGAATATCCGTTGAAGACAGTTATTTTTGACATATTATAAATAGGAGTCTTAGTGTTAGGATTTCCATGTGTTCATTGTTGTAAAAATACTAAAAAAATCACTCAAAGTATCTAAGTCAAGTGAGAAAAGAGTTTTCATTGAGAAATCTACGTTTGAAACACCACATTTATTTCAATAGATTTTTACTTATAATTTATCATTTATCCTTTTACTGCACTTTTACTTTGAAGTTTATCTTTATTGCAACTTTACAATTCTACAAGTTTATCTTTTCAAAACTTTAAAAAAATCATTTTGACAATAGTTATGTCCTAAGGATTCACTGGTTGATCCTGCAAGTAAACCGTTTTCGGAAGACCATCGATTGTTTACTAATTTTCACGGTAAACAAAGTTCGACTTTAAATTCAAGCTGGATGTGGGAAATTTGGGTGGTATCCTAACTATTTCGGGCAGTAAATGCTTCATGGTAAAAGATAAATCGATCAAAGGACATTTCATTAGGACGACCGGAGACTAGGGGGTGTCAAAATCGAAGGTAAATATAATAAATGTATACGCTCCATGTGATTCCAAATCGAAGAGGGCATTGTGGAATGAATTAAGTACAAAGATTCAAGGAAACAAAGATGAACGTTGGTTCATGATTGGCGATTTCAACGTTGTAAGGGATAAGTCAGAAAGAAAAGGTAGAAGTGTAAGACTCAAAGGGAGAAAGATGAAAGACTTCGACGAATTCATCATGACAGCAGAGTTAATTGATCTTTCTCTCCACGGTAGAAAATTCACTTGGTCCAGGATAAGAGAAACCGCAATGAGCAGACTAGGCAGAGTATTGATGTCATAAGCATGGGACAGAGAATGACCTGAGTACAAACAAAGTTGCATCGTTAAAGGTCTTTCTGACCATTGTCCAATAATATTAAAATGTTGGAATCAGAACTGGGGCTCGAAACCATTTCGGATGTTGACTTGCTGGAAGGAATCAGAAGTTTATCAATCGCTTATCAAGGATCAGTGGGGAAAATTATAGGTAGAAGGATGGGGTTGTACGTCCTTAAAGAAAAATTCAAATAGATAAAAGTCGGGCTAAAAGATTGGCATAAAAACTACTCCCAAAATCTCGAAGAAAAAATCAAGGTAACCAAAGAAGAGCTGAATAAACTTGAACGCAAATAGGAAAATGAAGGATTGGATCAAGCAGAAATTAATGTTAAAGAAATTAACGTTCGAGAATAAAATGGTTAAAAGAAGGCGACACAAATACAAAATATTTTCATGGGTGAATTAATAAGAGAAGGAGAGACAACGAGATATCGTGCATTGAAGTCAATGGAAGAAGGGTATCCAAAGTAGAAGAAATTAAGAAAGCTATTCATGATTACTTTCAACATTATTTCGAGGCAAGAAGAGCGTGCAACATAGAGGTAAATTTAAATTTCAAAAGAATTTCAGGTTCAGAAAGGTGGAGATGGTTAGAGAGTTATCGGAGGAGGAAGTTCAGAGAGCGGTTTGGGACTACGATAGATCAAAAAGTCTGAGTCTAGATGGAGTAAATATGGGATTTGTAAAAGAGTTTTGGAAGGAAGCGAAATGAGACTTTTTAAGAGTGTTAAAGGAATTCCATGAGCATGAGAAAATAGTCGGAGGGCTAATTCCTCATTCATTGTGCTGATCCCAAAGAAGAAAGATCCCTCAAATATGGAATAGTTTTGACCTATATCACTAGTGGGTTGTATCTACAAAGTGATCGCTAAAATTCTTGCAAATAGAATTAAAAAAGTGATGAACTTTGTGATTTTGGATACGCAATCAGCATTTATAAATGGGAGGCATATTTTTAACGAAACTTTGATTGCTAATGAAGTAGTGGATGAAGCGAAATGAAAGAAGAAAGAGGTAATTTTGTTTAAGGTGGATTTTGAAAGAGTATACGATTCAGTAGAGTGGAATTTCCTAGAATTGGTGATGGAAAGGATGAGCTTTCACTCAACCTGGAGAAAGTGGATCTTAGAATGTTTGAAGTCGTCAAGGGTATCGGTGTTGGTCAATGGAATCCCCACAAAAGAACTCACCGTTGGTAGAGGCCTGAAGCAGGGAGATCCTCTATCTCCGTTTTTGTTCTTGCTAGTGGCAGAAGGTTTTAACCTTCTAATGAAAAGAGCTGGGAGTTAGGAAGATTCCCTGGTTACAAATTTAATAATGGTAGTGACAGATATACACACTTACAATATGTAGATGATACAATAATATTAGTAGAAAAAACTGGGGGAATATCAGATGTATTAAAGCAAACCTGTCTCTTTTTGAAGTAATGTCGGGGTTGAAAGTTAATTATCAGAAGAGCAGCTTAATTGGAATCAATATTTATCAATGTTGGCTCAAAGAAGTTGCTGCAATTCTAAGGTGCAAGGTGGGATTAGTGCCATTCTCGTACTTAGGAATTCCGATTGGTGGAAATCCCAAATCTGAGAAAACGTGGTCATCGGTTTTGGATTTGTTAAGAGAAAGAGTCTCCAAGTGGAAACATAAGAACTTATCAATTGGCGGAAAAGTGGTGGTTTTGAAATCTGCCTTATTGTCAATTCCGATCTATTTCGTTTCCTTTTTCAAAGCTCCTACAGGTACTTTATCTAGAATTGAATCTATCTTTAAACACTTTTTTTGGGGAGGATTAGAGAGCGGGAGGAAAATTAATTGGATTAAATGGGATGCTATTTATTCTCCAATAAAAGATGGAGGTCTGGGCATAAAAAAACTAGGTGTTTTTAATAGGGCACTCCTAGACAAATGGGTTTGGAAAACTTACAAAGAAAGAAGATGACTTTGGTTCATGGTGTTGCGGATAGATATGGCAACAATGTAGGTTTATCGAGGGAATCTGATGTGCACAGTTCACAATGGTGGAAAGATTTATATAGCATAGATATAGGAGAGATTGAGAATTTGAAGGAATACTTTGTCAAGGAAATATATAGGTTCTTGAGGACTTTATGCAGACTGGAAAATAATTTGGAGTGGTCTGCAGCTTGGAATAAGATGGTTCCGTTGAAGGTGTCGTGTTTAATTTGAAAATTATTACACAATGACTCCCAACGAAAAATAATCTAGTAAAAAGGGGTATTATAGGCCAAGACAATAGTCTAGATGTCGGTGGGTGCGGTGAGTTCGAGACTGCTTTTCACCTTTTTTTCAAGTGTCCCAATTTTGCAGGTATATGGCAAAGGATCCTGAGATGGCTAGGAGTATCAACTGCTCTCCCTAGAGACAGTTGAGATCATAACAAACAGTTCATATCTATCATTGGGAATGACAAAAAAGATTACAAATAAAATCAAGGTGATATGGTTTGCCGGCATTTGGTGCATTTGAAAAGCAAGAAATAAATTTATATTCAAGAACAAAGTTGAAGATATTGAACAGACATTTGAAAGCGTGCAAAGATTTTCTTGATATTGGTTGAGAGATAAATTCAAGTTCCTAAGCTACAGTGTGCTTCAATGGCATGTGAAATCAAGGATCATCCTTGGATAAGCTTTTCCTCATCAGGCATTGGAACTTAGCTGAATTGCTAGTCACTGATACTTGGATTTGGTTTTGTGTCCTGCAGCTATTGTGAATCTGAAATTTCAAGCGGAGATAGCAATTAGATTTTCATTTTAGGGGTTTCCCGTAATTCGATTGCAGGTGGAGGTTTGGCTTTAGGGTGAAAATTTTAGTGGCACGTTTGGCTCTGGCTGTTTTTCTCTGTTTAGGAAATTTTGCCAGGTGTATCTTCTCAGTGGGGTCGTCTGTTCTTCTAAGGAATTGCTAGCGAAATTCATGTTGAGGCATCTGAGGTCTAGAGAGGGGGAAGTGCATTGTTTGTGTATTTGGCTTCCACTATGCGTGTCAAGAGCCAAAGTGTCCCCTCTCTCTTTGCTATGTATTTCTTCTGCGACAAACCGCCCCTAAATTTCTTTCACTTGTTCTTCCCATTTACTGGTTGGTCTCCTTTGTGAAGGTAACAGGATTTATATGAACTACTCCTTCTTGTTATATTGACTTGCAAAAGTAAGTTGTTTGCAGTAGTTTTACAAATGAGGTATGAGGTCTTTATATAGATCAAAGTTACAGACAAGAAGACATGAAGAATTAATTCACTGCTATTTCCTAAGAGAATAAACCTTTTATCTGCTATAGGAGAAACAAACTATTCGTTGCCTGAGACAACCTTTTAATTTATCCAACAAAACTCCCCCATAAATTAAAGGCTTCGTCGATCTATTATTCCTAGCATCTTATTTCCTCTGTCGAATAGCTCCTTCGACAATGGTTTTGTAAAGATGTCCGCAGCTTGATCCTTGCTCGCCGCATGCTTCAGTTCGACGCTTCCATCCTTCACATGTTCTCGAATGAAATGATAGCTCACATCAATGTGTTTGCTTCTTTCGTGATTTACTGGATTCTTTGCCAGCTCGATTGCAGACTTGTTGTCGACTTGCACTATTGTTGCATTTTCTTGTTTCAACTCCAGTTTGTTTAACAATCTTCTAAGCCATATTGCATGGTATACACACCATGAAGCTGCTACGTACTCAGCTTCACATGTCAACAATGTTACAATGGGTTGCTTCCTCGAAAGCCAAGTGAAAGTAGTATTTCCCATGAAAAATACATATCCAGAGGTGCTCTTTCGATCATCTACGTCTCCACACCAATTGCTGTCGGAGTAGCCAGTCAGCTTGTAAACTTTTGTTCTTGAGTAAAACATTCCAAGTGACAAAGTTCCTTGGACATAACGCAGAATTCTCTTCAAAGCTTTCCAGTGTGTGTGAACTGGTTCTTCCATAAATCGACTCAAGATTCCGATACTTAGTGAGAGATCTAGTCTCGTGCATGTGAGATATCAAAGACTTCCAACCAAGCTTCGAAATTTGTTTGCTTCAACACGCTCTCCCCCATCAAATTTTGAAGGCTTGGCTCCTGGCTCCATCGGTGTTGAAATTGGATTGCATCCTTCCATTTTGAAACTTTTCAGGATGTCCTTTGCATATTTTTCTTGTGAGACAAATATTCCAGTTTCTTCTTGTCGAACCTCCAGACCAAGAAAGAAACTCATCAGACCTAAGTCTGTCATCTCGAACTCACTTGTCATTTTGCCTTTGAACTCTTCTATCATTTGATTATTGTTGCCCAAGAAAATCAGATCGTCGACATAGAGAGTAACAAGCAGCATATTTTCATTTTCCTTCTTCACATACAGAGTATGTTCGTATGGACATTGCTGGAAACCATTCTCCTTGAAATAAGTATCAATGCGCATATTCCATGATCGAGGTGCCTACTTTAACCCATAAAGTGCTTTCTTGATTTTTAGCACTTTTCCTTCGCTTTCGACTTTCATGAATCCTAGTGGTTGTTCGACATAGACTTCTTCTTCGAGCACACCATTCATAAATGCTGATTTGACATCCATTTGGAATATTGGCCATTTGAATTGAGTAGCTTGCGAAATGAGTAGTCGAATTGTTTGCATTATTGCAACAGGTACAAATACTTCATCATAGTCAATTCCTTCTTTTTGCTTGTATCCTTTCGCCACAAGTCGTGCCTTATACCTTTCGACTTCGCCTTGTGCATTCATCTTTTTCTTGAACACCCACTTCACACTAATAGTTCGACTTCCTTTTGGTAATTCTGCTAACTCCCATGTGTTGTTGTGTTCAATAGCCTTAATCTCTTCACTCATGGCATTCTTCCACTTCTCTTTTCTCCATGCTTCTTCAAAACTAATGTTTTCAGAATCTTCCAGTAGACATACAAGATGTACTTCTTCTGTGTTATCATACAACTCTTGCAAACTTCTCATTCTGGGTTGTGAGGGTTCATCTTCATTATCAGAGTCTTCAGGTATTGTCGAAGTGTCTGTTGGTACAACAACTGATGGTTCGCGAGTTTCGACTACAGCTTCTGTCGAACTGTTCCAGTCCCATCTGCTTGCTTTGTTTACTCGAACATCTCTACTCACAATCACCTTTTTGTTTATGGGGTCGAACAACCTGTATCCCTTCGTCTTCTCATCATACCCAATCAGTATGTACTTCTGACTCTTGTTTTCAAGCTTCGTTCTTCGTTGATCTGGCATATGTGCATAAGCAACACTGCCAAATACTTTAAAGTGAGATACATTCGGCTTCTGTCCACTCCATGCTTCTTGTGGTGTTTGATCTCCCAACTTCGAATGTGGACATCTGTTTTGAACATAGATTGAGCATTGCACAACTTCTGCCCAAAATTCCTTTGACATGTTCTTTCTCTTAAGCATTGAACGAACCATGTCAAGGACTGTTCGATTCTTTCTCTCAGCAACACCATTTTGTTGAGGTGAGTATGCTGCAGTTAGAAATATCCTTATCCCCTGCTCCTCACAATATTTCATGAAGGCTGTCGAAGTATACTCTCCTCCTCTATCAGAACGAAGAGCTTTGATGTGTCTATCAGTTGAATTTTCCACCATTGCTTTAAACTTCTTGAATGCTTCAGATTTTTCTTTAGGAAGTAAACCCAAGTCTTTCTCGAGAAATCATCAATGAAAGAAATGAAATACTTCTTACCACTGAAGGATTCTGGAGTGATTGGTCCATAGATATCAGTGTGAATTAATTCGAGGATGTGCTTAGCCTGATATCCTGCCTTCTTTTGAAATGAAGTTCTCGTCTGCTTGCCAAATACACAATCTTCACAAAATTTTCCTTCAAACTCCATGTTGGGAAATCCATGCACCATATTCCTTCCTGCTAATCTCTTTAACCCAGCATGATGCAAGTGACCAAAATATAGATGCCATAGGTTCAATTGGTCTTCGACATCCACTTTCAGACACTTTTCTCGAATACTTCTCAAATTCAGCTCGTACATTTGATTTCCTCCCATTTCAACTTGAGCAATTAGGTGCCCTGATTTATCCTTCAGATGCAGTATTCGATCCTTCATGAATATTGAGTAACCGTTCTCCGTGAGTTGTCCCAAACTCAAAATATTCGCTTTTAGGTTTGGTACATAATAAACGTCTTGAATTTTCCCAAGCACGTTATCCTTCTGCAAGTAACAAATTGTTCCTTTGCCTTTGACCTTTACCTTTGACGCATCTCCAAAAGATACATGACCATCTTCAATCTTCCTCATTTCTTTGA